CTGTCTAACCTTCGTCATTTGTAATTTTAATAGTTATTACAAAGCTTTGTTCAATTTGGCATAGTTAATTATTCTACGGAAAGGGATGTTAAAAAATAAATTCTAACAGCGTTGAACAATTGATTTTCATATGACGCACGTTCACGTACGAAAGGAAGATGAAATACATGAAATTTTCGGTTATCCTGCGTTTCAGCAGGCGCACGTATTCCTCCTCTCCCTCTCGCTAAACTGAGACGCTGGGATCCGTGCGCGATAGAAAAGGACGAACAAACACCCAGCCCGTAACTGCTGGGGGTTTCAGGTCGATGCACCCCTTCGCTCGCTTGCCAACGAGGGTTCGACGCCCTGCGTCGTCCCCTGACGTCATTCGAGCAGGCTGACCCCACACCCCTCGATCTTCTGCTTCGCCGGCACCGATGAGATGCCAAGAGCTCGGCCAGACCAAGTTTTCGTCCTTCGACAAACTGGATCCTTCAGCTTTTTCCTTTCGCTGCGTTCATTCGGGGTTGTTTTTTAGGTCAGATTTTTAGGTTCGCCGGATGATGTGATTTTTAATTGGCCTCCCTGTTTCGTCCTTCGTTTTCGTTATTAGGAAGATCCCATCTCATCTAACTCGATTTTCTTCCCTTATCACGGAAGCCATTTTTCTTTTCCATTTGTGATTTTTGTCTTTTTGTTTTCTTCGTCGATCTTACAGGTGTCGATGAAACTTGCATTTTTATGCTCCCTCTATTCTCTTGGTTTTTAAAAATTTTCTATCGATATGGATACGTGACTTATGAATATTTTAAGATCGTGTATTTTGTGTTGTTTGGTTGCAATTCGAACTCTACAAATTTTCGTTTCTCGAAGAAAATCTTGAATTCTGCCTATTTTTGAAAAATTGATAAATCATCGTTAATTCGAGAATTGTCGTTCGAATCATTTCAATCGATGTTGCGAATTAATATTCTCGGCGGTGCAGTCGATAACCTGTCCCTGACGTAACGCCTACGCGGGTACCATGGTGGTGGGAGTCGACGGGGTTGAAGCAGCAGGGGGTTGCAAGAGGGTGGGAGAGGCGGTCAACAAAACTGGGTCACTGGAGCTTCATTCACATTACGCGGCCATTCATGAGATTTGCCAACCGTTCGGCTTTCATGCTTTCGACGCGTTTCTTGTCTTTTTCCGAAAACCCTTCACCCTCGCCCTCCGTGCTTTTTCGATTTCGTTTATCAAACGACAGTTCAATTTGTCACGTCATTTGCTGGGGTACAAGCGCATACTGAGACGTAGCTTTTTGTGAAGTCTTTTGAGTATGATCTTTTTAATAGAAATACATATCGCAGATATAGAAACGAATAAAGAGTTACAGAAATTATAAATCTGCCTATGCGAAAACAATGCTGTCTCGATCCTTCTTAGAATTTTATATTATTTTTCTTAGGAAAAATTTTCAAATTTCTTTAAAGAACTTTTCAATTATTTCAAAATTCCCTTAAGTTGCGTTAATAAAATAGAAATTCAGATTCGTCTCTGAAACGAGGGGCCCATAATTAAGTGTTAAAATAGAATATCGCCATCCTTGAGGTAGGTCAATGACGACCAGCTGATAAGCTATGAATTCTATGGAATCTCTTCGTTTTTGAAGAAGACGATGTCGAAATCGAAGCTCGTTTCACCGGTAAGAAAGTTTGGGTCCTAAGGGAGACGCGAACAAGTCCCAGCTCGACCGGGGAAATTTCTCAATAAACTTTCGAAAGCGTCTTCAAGCGGTTCGGCTGGGTTCGCCCGACCTACTTTTGCCCGGGCAATGACGTTGAATATGACGTCACAGGAGCAGAAAGTGGGTCGCGAGGTCGTAGCACCTCGTCGCTTTTCCCGTGGACGCTTACCCCTGTGTTCGATGGCTCAATTCATTGAAAAAAACCGACTAGGATTTAATATTATCTTCATCGAGAAACAGCAATTGCTAGCCACTTTTATACCCCTATCGACAATACTTTCCTTTTGTTTCGTATTATTTTGAACAGTAGAAATAGCCGTTTCAAAAAATATTGTCTGAATGTGATAAGGAAAGGCCAGGCTAGAAACAGAAAAATAGTGTACTTAGCGTGGATCATGGGGAAGAAAAGAGATTTACCGTTTCGCAATATATATTTCGATGCATGTACGTAAGGATAAACTGTGACGAAGATATATGGTAAGAGAGATTTTCGTACGATAAGAAATTGATTCGAATAATGCGATTCGTTTTCCCTTAGCTATTCTTTTTTGCCCACAGTTAACACGTTCGTAGTGGAAACAGCAATGCATAAAACGACACGCGATAATATTAACGCCACACAAAATCATTCTTTCTTTCATTATACTTTAATTATTTGAGTATATTAAATTTGTAGTATTGGTCACTGGTGATCCCTATGGCAATCAACGTGTAAACGCATTTATAAAGAATTCTCAAATGTTTAGACATGACTTCGTTTAACCTGCAAAAACACGATAAAATCGTCACATTTGTATCGAGGTTTTTTCGTTAAAAATCGAATAACCGCATTGCGGTCGCTCAACATTTTTTTCTTATTCGTTCAATACACATTCAATCCCTATGGAAACATTGTTGTCAGAAAATTAACCAGGAAAGTAAACGCGAGATACTTTTTTCTAAATAAATATTAAGAATTGTTAACGTAATTTTAGTAGTATTCAGAATTTTCGAATTATTCAATCAAATTAATTTAACGTCGATCACTCTAATCGACGCGTTAGAAATAAAATGAATATTCGTCGAGATATGGAAGAAATTCAGTGTGTTAATCAAAGTGTTAATTTGGTAACAGCCTGTATAGTTTGCGATGTTGCGGCAAGTAGAAAAACAAGGAAGAAAACAGAATGTCAGGATATAGGCAGGAATAAGGGGATGGGAAAGGGTGAGTCGAAGCGGTTGCGACTGGACGGTGTCGGTGGTTCAGTAGGCGACAGTGTTTGGTGGTAGGAGGTGGAAAGAGTGAAGGAGGGGGTAGGTCGGCGATGGCTATTTTTGGAATGTGGGTCACCCATAAACCCCGGCTTGTCCCGTGACGTCACGGGATCGTCGTCGTGGTAACAGGGACGCCGGGTTAATCACCCTTGGCTCAGAACTATCTACCACCCTCTCGCACCTATTCCACCCTTTACAGATCCACTCCTCAACGAACATACCTGTACTTTTACGTCTGTATAGAATGGTATTCAAATTCGGTATACACAGATCTATAATTACATATTTCTAAAATTAAAAAAGTTGTGAGAAAAGAAAACATTTCAGGGGTTGCTAAAAATTCTACCAGCTTTATCGGTATCAGGGTTAATTGGAAATTTTCTGTGATTCTTTTTTAATAGGGGGTGTACTGAGCATTTATTAGGGTTGTACACACAAAGATAAATAATAATTTCTAAGACTTAAAATAGGAAAAGTAACTATACGAATGTGTTTAATTTCAAGAATTTTTGAATGATTACATATTTTATGAAGATTGATAATTTTGCATTGTATTATCACATTTGAATCAATTATTTTGACCAGGAAAACCTTCTGCCATCTTTCGTAGGTAATTTGCACCGATGATCGTGGTTGTAGCAGTCTATTTTATACCCCGTCTGACTAAGCGTCGATACGTACTACTTGATTGTGGAAACGCCAGTGTTCTACTTGACCTACCGTTTCCTACTTTAACCGTGTGATTTGAATCCCTTCGTACGGGTAGCTACAGTAGTATATCAAGGAAACTGGTTTTCTTAAATAAAGGGGTCACTACGATTATAATACCAGAATATTTTTAAATAAGTATTTATCTTATTTTTGCGTATTCGACATTTTTCTTCGAAACTTTTACCATTTCAAATTTTAGGATGCTATTCAAAAATTCTTCCTTAGATTTCAGCTAATAAACTTTCAGACTCTTACTGCATTTTAGAAATTAAAATTAATTAAAATTTAAGCTCGATAATTGAGTAATTAATGCAATTGTATGTCTGATCATTTGGATGAGAAGTCTGAGATTCCATGGAAAAATTCGGAGAAGATATTATAGCAGATGCTGGTCGCAAGTGTTACGTCCAGGCCACTATGTTTCCGTCAGCGTTACCACGTTTAGTGCCAAACAGCTGCCGCACACGAAATCCAGAACGGTCCGTTAATAATATCTTCGTTCTGCCTCGACGCGTTTCGAGATACTCCTACGATCAACAACCGTAGCACACTTCTACATTCCAATCGTACCCTTACCTCGAGCACTTTTATATTCATCTAACTAATTCATCATTATTAACGCTTTAGTAGTTTTCATAGTATCAGCGAGTTAGCGTTCACCGTGAACCGTTCAATAAGGCTTTGGTGGCTAACTCAATTATTAAAATATTAAGATTTCTGTAACTCGATGGTATCGGATTGTCTCTTCCAATTTTTATTTACTAGTATATGAAATGTAAAGCTATATATTTCCATCGTTTACGAATTAAAGCCGAATACAGTTATAGTACTCTTTTAGAACGCGCACCATGAACTTTGTGCTCCGTTCTTTCAACGTGGAATGTTTTCACCCTATGCGATCTAGGTTATTCTCATTCTTTCGGCTATTTCTAAATAGCGTAACATGGATTGTGTTTATTTGAACGCTTTGGTACCCCGATTCTTCTCAAAATAGATGATAAAAATCCACGATGGTGCAGCCAAAATGAAAGGGTGAAAGTTACTCCGGAGCAACCGCACACTCATCTCTGTAGTTTCTTTAATGATTTTTTATGTTCTTGTCCACATTTCTCATTCTTTGGACGATTTTAACATCGATTTACGTATAGAAAATAAAGGAATGTTGAATGGGTGGCTCGAGGAGGGTGAAAAGAAGTCGCGTTAAGAAGATAGCCGAGAGAGATTGAGCGAGGAACGAAGCAAAAGCTCCTCGGCTCCGTTTTCAGTTTCCGATTATTTTTGGCAGCAAGGCAGAGCGGGCAGAGCTCTCGCCTAAAAATGCTTACGGCTCAATGGCGAGCCGTCATTGGTGGATTTCTAGCCACGTGAACAGCCTACGAACAGAGGCTGACGACGTCGACCACGGATCAACGATGGCACAGTCAGCTGCCTAAGGTCCGGTTGGCCAGTCGTAGCCAGCAAATAGTTCTCTCTCTTCAAGGTAAGCCACTATCTTCGTGATGACCTACTGGAATCGTTCTTCGTGATCCTCTTCAGGATCTGTCATCGACAACCGGCAAGGATTTCGACTCCTCTTCGACACCCGCTTCACTTCTTGGACCGAAGATTTTCTATCTCTTCGTCGTATCCGAGTGTCAAGTGCTTCACACAAGATAGAAACGGGCGTTTTAGTTCAAGGTCACGTGTGTTAGTACATCCAGGAATTGTGACGTTCCAGAAGAGACTGGAACAGGTCCCAGTGCGATTCCGTGTGTGACAGATACCTTGGAAGTGACAGAAAAGCTCGTGCTTCTTCTCGATTTTCCTCGATTTCTGGATCTATCATTTCTTCGGAGAACGATGTGCTGGAAATGTCGATACTCTTCGCGAATTCGTTTGAGATATTTGTTTTCTTTCATTTCGTTGTTTCTTTTTTGGCAGTGATCCTCGTGTTACGTTTAGATCGCAACGCGAATACACGCGGTTCTATGTAAACAGCCTTGTACCAGTATTCATTCTAGCTCCTATTCGACAAATATAACTCCCCAGACAAAAGAGATACTCTCGTCTCGAATTACGGGTCTTTTGATTTTCATTCGAACGTTGAACGTAGAGTTTGGAGTCAACGACGAAAAAATTCGAGGGAAATGGTTGTATGTTAAGGAAAAAGTGGATGGAGTAGGTTGAGGGAATTTTCTTTTTTTTCATGTTCCTTCGTGGAGGATCGTTTGCGAGAGCTATCGTAGATCATTCGGGGTAGACTCTGCGTGTTTTCTATTTTTACGGTGCCGGGATCCTCTTTGACATCGGAGACGAGACACACATCGGAGTCGCGGTGGGACGTGTCTTGGAATGGTTCGAGCGAGTGGGAATCTATACTTAGCGAAGGCGATCGGTCCATTACAAATATAAAGCGGTTGCCAGTGATCGTATGAAATTTCTCTCCGCCCGATGATCTTCCAATTTTTCGGTTCTTCGTTCATGATACACAGGGAACGAAGTCAATTATTAGGGGGATCGGTTACCTATTGCTATTTCTCATACTGAGAGGAAACGTTACTTTACAAGAAGTAATTCAATATTTCAAATCATTTCTTTTATGACACTTCAGTTAGATTATAATAATTTTGAGAATGATTTTTTGCTAGGGATCAATGTCATCATGAACACCTTACAATTAACATTTCAGTTCTGAGGAAACGCAATTAATACTCTAGTTAGGGTAATTTTGGTATGTTATCGATATTACACAAACAGGTTACACAATTCGTGCACGCTATAAATTTGGAATCTATTTTCAAACGTTGTTTCTGACTCATTGCCGTCGTTTCTACGTCAGTGCGTAAGATGTTCGCCAAGAAAATGAATTACTTCGAACCTTCAAACCTTATACGCGTCCTCGTTTATCATCTTCCGGATCTGTAATGAAGTTTGAATTTTCAATTTTCCATTTAGAAATATTACTTGGATGTGACTTTAAAACTAATCCAAAAAATTTTCAGTAGTCAACACGAATAGGTGACATCCATCTTCAAAGTGGTACCAAGTTGACTGCCACAGTAGTAATAGTCATATGTGTTCAGACATCATGTTTTGATCAATGAATATTATTTTTAATTAAATTATTTTTGTTTTGAAATTCATGAATGAATCGTATAATCCGTGACAACCTGATATAAATAACGGTCAACGAAAATAATCTCCGGCATCTATGAAAATTTTCCAAGGAAATGGTTTCCCTTGACCGTTTCCTTCAAGTCGAATCTCCCTTTCCGCTTTCGACACATCGAATCGAGTCGAGAGGAGACGAGAGATGTACCCGTTTGGGTCGTTGCATCCAAATTTGGATCGTCGACGTAGCGACGTCTCCGGCTCGACGGTTCGAAAAGTGGGGACGATCCGCGGCTATTTTCGAAGACCGGATATTCTATACCGTTGCGTCGCGTCGGTGCGGCGAAATTTACGCGCAGAACAGTAGATTTATCGCGCAGGATCCGCGGCAACGATTGTCGTTGACCGACGAAAAAGAAGAAAAAAATTTATTCGATGACGCAACAGGGGAACCGTCTCCTACTTCATGATTTTATATTTAACCTCCCTGGTGCTATGTTTTGCATTTTATTCGCGTCACCAGAAAGACGATCGTATTTACGTCGATGACATAACGTAATGGTATTGTTATTTTGCCACGGATACGTGAAACGTCCGTTTTTTATGATTTATTTTTAGGTAGACGGGTCTAGCAGCCAGGTACCAAGATGGCGGACGATGAGGTTAGGTGAGTACCGGAACATAGTTCGCATATTAGCCCTTTTGTATATTTTTATGATAAAACATTTTTTGAAATATTTTCAAATAGTTGATTATAATCAAGAGCTCACCTTAACATTTTTTATTTCTTTTTTTTTTTTCATGTTCCCTCATGAATACTCGACGTATCTGAATCTTGATTTCATACAATGGCGAACAATGGATCCTCCCGTCTGGTTTGGACCCTGCAGTGAAATTAAAATCTTTGAAAGGTACGCATCGCTTGTGCTCTTTGTGCTTGCGAGATTCCCCCTTAAAGATAGTCCTCCCTTGAAAAGATCGTTTAGCCGAGCAAAAATATAATTAATCCACAAATGAACATCACATCTCCGTTTATGTAATTGGAGATGAACGAGTGATTTTTCCAGGAGATATTTTTTGATTTTTGCATTCGAGCTCGGATTAATTATTTTTTGTATAGAATTAAAGGCTCTATATTGACCGAGCTCTTGGATATTTTTTCCCATAGTAGATAAAAGTGGTTAACAACGAACCACACAGATTGACTACTAGTGTATTATAGTATTTTTTAATGTTTCGTAGTAGTTTTGTGTATTACAATAACGGGGAGAGTATGGAAGATTACTCCTCGTCGTAGTTGTTCCTTTAACACGTAAATGATGTTACTTTATATTGATTTCATTCCTTTCGAATCATATTCCCTTTCATTCGTTTCTTTTATCGATGTTCCTGTCGTCGATTGAAAGGAGAAAAAGAAGCTTGATGGAAAATTTGAAAAGTCGATAAGATATTTCATTTTTACGACACCAGGCGTGTAGATATTTCTCAAAGTATAACGTAACATCTCGTCCACCCCGGAGAGTAAGAGATAGATCCGGAAGTATTACGACCGACAACGTCGGTTGCCTCTATGGGGTTGGACTTTTTCTCTGATTTATCGTCATGCTCTCCTTCTTACTTCAACATTATTTACCCACCACGCGTTATGTTTTTCCACCTTCTCTTCTCCTTTTATCTCACTGACTTTCCAACTTTTCTCCCCTTATCCGAGATTGTTAAAACATTTCGTCGATATTTCTGTGACTCGCATTCTTCAACTTCCCCCTTTACCTTTTCCTCTTTGCATTCAAATCGACACGGAAGGTGTTGTTACATTAAAATCCCAATTATTTTGGCTAACTTTTCTTCCGTGTCGTTCGATTTTCCATCCTCCGCCCAAAGTAGAAACGTCTAATCATCTCCATCGTTCCATTCATATTACTAACAAGTAGGACCAATCAATAGTGAAACTTTGTAGCGGTAGAATAAAACTCCAAGCACGAGCAACCACCTAGTAATTGAAAATCTGGGGTAACGTAGACACTATAATCGCATTAAAGACAACATATTGCTGTGTCCTGCGACACTGATATCCTTGTGTATCCGCAGCATGTTATTAACGCTTGTTTCTTCGTTTGCCTATTCAAAGACAATTTGTATAAAAAAAACAACACATGATTGATAAAGATTGCATTGCACTATTTCTGTCACGTTGATTGCTGTATCATTCGTATGAATTTAATAATTAAGTTTTAGCAATCAACGTGTTATTGTCGCAAGTCACGCACTATATTGCTTCATACACGCTTTGCGCTTATTTCAAGAACGGAATACGAAACGAATCGGTTTAGAAAATTCTTGAAACGTTTATGCAAAATATCCAGCTCTGCTATCCGAGAGTTAGATATACGATAAACCTCTTTGCATCGAAATCAAACATTTCGTTCTCCGTTCGCCGCAGAATCGACGAAGAATATTTTCTCACGGACACTTTGTTTCTTTTTCATTGCAGAGGAAACGTCTCGAGGATGTACGTAAGATGAGAGGGGGGAAAAAAGTATCTGCGAGAGTTAAAGTCGAACTAGGAAAAGGATGGGTCACTCGAACGAAACTTTTTCAATAAGTTGTCGAGACTCGTTAATCGAATAGCTTTTGTAACAGTTTTCGTATTAGGGGCTGGTTAGGTGGCGCGTTAAAACTTTCCAAATTATTTCTACTTTCTCTATGGGATTCCCTAACGAGTAAACGGTTTATCATTTCTTTTTATTCTTTTTCCTCTCTTCATTTGAAAAGCAACGAGGACGTTTAAAGTTTCTTTGCGGTTCGCGGGGGAAAATTCCCGGGGGATTTCCTTTCGTAGCATTGTCAGATAAGAAATTTTAAGGGAGTTTCACACGGAAAATGTAGGAAAAGAAGAGGAAACAGGCGGAGACCGACAGAAAGAGGGCGGAGGTCCGCGCCCGCCTTGAAGAGGCTTCCAAAGCCAAGAAGGCGAAGAAGGGTTTCATGACCCCTGACAGGAAGAAGAAGCTTAGGGTAAGTTTACATTCCATTCCTTAATCATTTTTGGTTATATTAATGGGCTTTTAATTAGTATCTCTACCAAGTTTCTTTTCCCTTCTGAAATTAAGTTTAACACCGAAGAAAATAAATTGAAATTCTCTAACTTTTAATAATATTCGAATAATTCTTCTGCCCTTAGCTGTTGTTGCGTAAGAAAGCCGCCGAGGAATTGAAGAAAGAACAAGAGAGAAAAGCCGCAGAGAGGAGACGCATCATCGAGGAACGTTGTGGAAAACCGAAGAACGTCGACGACGCGAGCGAAGGTAAATTAAGATTTTTCGATAATTCTCTTCTAACATTTAATAATATTTAGCTCGCGTTTAGTCGGTTCATCGTCGCGGATTAGATAGTATTAACAAGTCAGGATCGCAGGTCGAACCCTTTCAGGTTCAGAGAAATAATTTTTTTGATTTTAACAGTGACAACATGCAATTTCGACTCGTCGTCGTACATCAGATTTTCGTCCACTTCTTTGCAGACAGTCTGTTCGTGTTTTCTTTCATGGAAATGGAAAAATCTTGACATCGTTATCATTTTGTTACATATAAAGTCACACAAACACTCTCAATTTATCGAGACACATTTTTGAAGAGCAACATAATCACAAAAAAAATATTTAAACAGGGGTATGACTGTACTACACAAACTCTTCTTCGCTTTTTTTTTCCGTTCAATTCTGATGATAAATTCTGTCCGATTTTTTTTTCACCTTGATCCACACAGAGACCGTGAAGCGCGTGCTGCGCGAGTACCACAATAGGATCACAGCATTGGAGGATCAAAAGTTCGACTTCGAATATGTTGTTAAGAAGAAGGACTTCGAGGTACTTTTGAGGCACACAAAAGAGCAAAAATATTGTTGCGAGAACATATTGCGGGGCACGCGTGCATAATAACGAGGCGTTGTAACGATACACATAGTAACGATGCTCAAAATGTTGTCGCACTTGAGTAATGTTACCGCGGCTTGCCCGGTTGCGTCTATTTTTCATCAAATTTTATTATTGTTTTTTTTTTTTTTTTTCTTAAGTAAACCAAAGGAATAATTAACCAAATATCTGAATAATCTCATTCGGTTTCTTCGCAATCCGGGCAAGTATCGCGAGCTTCGCATTTCGTCTCTTCGTTTTTCTTTCTTTATTTTTATTATTTTCGTTTATTTGTTTATTCAATTTTCTTTTGTACACATAACACGGCTATTCTTTCTACAGCTCTCTATCTTTCTGTCTATTTCTCTTTGTCCACTTTGTCGCATACACTTTTCTGTTCGCACTTACATTTCGTTTTTGTTCTTGTTAGCGCGATCTGTTCAAAACGATTTCAAGTCTTTGCGCTCTTCGTTGCAACGCTATATCGTCGTCTTTTTTTGGTGAAATTGGTGATCTGACAATCGCGTATTAACTGTTGTGTTCTCACACGTTGTCGCAAAAACGCTATTCCTGTGGTAACGGAGCAATACTTATATTTCTGTTGGAAAAAGATTTTGTTTTTCAGCGTCACAAGTGTATAATCAATCATTTTGCTTTCAATGTTCTCTCATGCCTTTATCTGATGGAGTTTTATTTCTAATTTTATTTTAAATGAATGTCGAAAGATTTGTGAATGTTTATTAGGTGGTATTACTACTCTGTTTAAAAGGTATACTTACGTTTTATTATAAAAAGACTCGAAAATAAGCGATTTTAGCAAACACGAACAACCATTCGAAGATAGGAAATCAGATGATTTCGTAAAATAGATCATCGAATAGAATCGTTCGTGTTGCTTGAAAAAACAAAAGGTAGAATATTTTCAAGGTGACTTGGAATTTTGACAGCTAGCGTGAAGTCCATTCTGACCCAGTATCATAAGAGGATCATCGCTCTCGAGGGGGAAAAGTACGACCTAGAGTACGAAGTCGCCAAAAAGGATTTCGAGGTCGACAAATTTTCGATTCCAAAAAGAACAAATCCAAAAACAAAAATACGACGCTGCAATTAACAAAATTTACAGAAAACTGTCTCTTTCATTCTTTCTTCTTTTACAATTTTTTTTTTTTTTTGTTTTTCTACCAAGTTTTTCAGTATTTTTGGTTCTAAATCTTTTGGGTTTTCTCTTTCTTCATTAGAACGCAAGGACTGTTGCTAGCTCAGCGCTGAGTAATATTTTTCATTTTTATTTTTATTCTTTCACCAAGTTATTTTGACGTTGAATTAGGCTGAATCGAGGCTGAAATCATCTAATCGCACCAATTCTAACGTAGTTACTCGCAACATCTAAATACTAGTTTTAGATACTCTTCTTAGAAGGAAAATAAATTCGAAATGACATTAAAAAAAAGAAAGATAAAACAGGCACGCGTGAGTTGGTAGAATCGCAGCAAAGTAGATGTGAAGTTAATATCGTAACGCTGATTACTTATATAGATTCTTTCTTAAATAATTTCAAGTAGTACATACCAAACTTCTTTCTCATCTGTGCCTAAAAATACACTAAGACCTCGTTCCGTAGAATTTCCTTCAGTTTTTCCCTTTTTAGAGATTCCATTCTCGTGTCAGGTTCACGTTCACGCAGTTGTTAGCTTCGTGCTTCTTGCTTCTATACACGAGAATCTCATTCTATTCTCCTTTGATTCTTTTCTCCCGAATAACCTCATTAGTATAGTCATTTGTACAGGGTTAAATGGTAAGACATTTTTCTTTTTTTTTAAATGAACAGTCCGTTAAAATTGTAAAGCAAAGGATGACCGAAAGCATCCATCGATTAAATTTCATTGTTGCTCCTCCTTCTGTGAAGCTTTTGTTCTTCTAGCCGAGCTCCAGACGATCTGTTCGGCATATTGGAAAAGACTATACGCGCTCGAGGGCGATAAGTTTGACCTCGAGAGGCAAATTAGGTTGAAAGAATTCGAGGTAAATACGATCGTGTCGTCTGAAGATAACCTAACGAGTCTCCTGCGCACAGATTACTCTTATCTGACCTCCTACGTAATTCATTTCTCATTCTATTTATTTATTTTTTTTTTCTTTGACGAAAAGTAATATTTTACTTTAATTTTCTGAAAATCCAACCTCGAGTTTTGGCAGAATTCAATTTTTGTTGATCGAAATTTCGAAGGGTGGTAATCCGGAGCATCCCCTTGTACCGTTTAAAAATATGGAGGTCGATAGGAGAATTTCCATCTCGGCAAAAAGGAGATATTTCAGAGCAGGTCACGTTCGTGTCGTCCAACGCGATTAGGCATTCGATTTTCGCGTGATTTTTTCTTATCAATCGAGTAGAACGAGAGACAGAAACTTTCGACCAAAAATTGTTGAATGCCCATTATTGGGGGAACAAAAAAGGGAAAAGGTTTCTTTCTCTCTTTCTCTCGTCTTGCCTCCTGGCTATTTAGTGAAAGCAACGTTTCACGAATTAGAATATATCTGAGAGACACTCCATGTTCTTTGTAGACGATTTGAAGGAGATTTGCCAAATGTATTACGACCGCGTCTACCTTTGTGAGGGTCAGAAGTGGGATTTGGAGCGTGAAGTTCGGAAAAGGGATTATGAGGTACAGGAGATAATCAAAGAAAGCAGCAAAAATAAAAAAATAAAAACATACAACAACGATAAGAAAAAAGACAAACAAAAGGAAACACGAGACGCACAATGCGAGGAGAAAGAGAAGAACCCCCGTCAGTGGCGCGTCTCTTTTGTGCAACCCCCTTTATTTTCACTGACTTTCTCTCTTCGCGTTGTCTCTCGTTCTTCCGTCCCCTTTCTGTATATAATTTTCTTTGAGTTCTTTCTCTCTTTCACGATGTTTCTCTTGGAGAACACGTTCAGTGGCTTTTCAGAAAATCGAACGAAATGATTTCTTTTTAACGAAGACAAACAAACGAACGTAACTTTTTATTAGTTTACTGTGTACTGTATAATCTTGGTCAGTCCTGTCTCGGTGATTTACCCACATCCTTTTTTTTCCAAGAAAAGCAGCAAAATCGTCCATCGAATTTTTTTCTTTTTTCGCGTGGATATGAAGTGCCGCAATCAAACAGAAAAAAAGACGAAAAGAAAAAAATAATTTTTTTGCCCCTCACTTTCCATACGCTCTTTTTTCTCTTTATTATTTTTTTCATTTTTCTTCCTCGACGACTATTGCCGTCGATGGATACACCTGCCTATTTTTTTTTTTTTCTAATTTTTCCTGCCTTTTTTCTTCTTGCAAACTATCTCGATCAAACGTATAATTACATCTGTCTGATTTCTATGCATCACTCGATTACTCGTTCTTCTCTAAACAATGAATCTTTCTCTTTATCTTTCTGTCTATCTTTGAACATCTATCTTTCTATCTTTCTCTTTCTCTTTAACCATGTAACGCAGACAGAGGCTTTCTGAGCTTTGTACTAACGATCGCCAAGAAGAATGAAACCCGCGAAAGAAAAAGAAAAAGCTTCTCGCGATTTTCGAATCAGGGCTGGGCAAGTTTATGGAGGAGACGTTTATCGTATCGAATCGATTCATATCGATTCGTAACACTTCCGTTCGCGTCTCAAACATCCGTTTTTGCATCTTTTTTTTTTCTTCTCTCGTCAAACGCGTTCTCGCGGAGAAAAAGAAAATCGTGAAACGAGAAGAAACGCGTTGTCCCAAACGATAGAAACAGGTTTATTATTTTTCACCCTGGAATCTTTCTCTTTTTGTTTCTTGATTTTCACAACTTTTCTTTCTTTCATTTTTTGATTTTTTTTTTTTTTCATTAAGAAAAAAGAAAAGAAAATACGTTGTACATACACAAGTTAAAGGGAAGAGAACACATCGTTGAACGGGGTCAAAGAGAACCCTTGAAAAGTCTCACGCCGTGACTTAAACGTGTGCGTGAGAGTAGTGTTTGTGCGTGGGTGTGCGCGCGTGTGTGTGTTCGGTGCAAAATCGTCGACAAAGTTTGATGAATGAATAGTGGGAAGCCGAGAAAAGAAGGGGAAGAAAAAGAAGCAAAAAGAATATCGTATCGACTCCGCCACTTTGTACATTTCACGTATTTCTTCCGTGTTTTATTTTTCCGTTCGTCTTGTATACGGTTTCTATCCGCGACTTTCACGTCTCTCTGTTTTTTCTATTTCTCTATTTTATCTATCTCTCTATCTCTGTCTATCGTATTCTCTCTATCTCTATCTTTCTGTTGCTATCCGTTTATTTACCTCCTTGCTAGCTTGATTTCTGAAACATGTTGCCGAAGCGATTGCTGCTTGATTTTTCTTTTTATTATGAATTTTAACCATTGCGTGCATGGCTTGCTGTACCTACTAACACCGTCAGGCAATTTATTCGTGAAATCTACGATATCGATTTTCAAGTATTTATTGGACTGTTGCAGATGAAATGGACAATTTATTCATGAAACATTCAACACCTATAACTTTGTCAGAAAGAACGCGTTCATCAAAACGTGTTTCAAACTATTCGTGCTTTTTGAAACTATCAATTGTTCGCTTTTTGTCAAACTCTAAGCTACATATCGATGTGGCGTAAGTGTATTGTGCAGAAATTGTCCACTTGATATGCGACAACCTAGTGACAAAAATTTAATAAAATAATTAGTAAATTGAGAGTACTGAGAATCCAGTCAACGTGTTAATTTTCGATGATTCCACGGTAAGAGCTGCTGAAGGGTAATGTCAAACCGGATCGTTGTTTCGTTATGAAACTCTTCATCAAATATTCCGGAGCAATTAATTAAATGCTCGAACGTTATATTTTTGACTAGATAATCGAGACACATCGATCATTTTTCTGAGCAATTTTATCCGGAAATTAACAGCATGGGTCAGTTTATTTTCACGCTGCAGCAAAAGCCAACACGCATCGAAGCTTTTCTATTAACTTCAGGATCAGGTTAATGAACACGAGCCAGTCAAAGGTGGCTCCTTTTAGTTTCTATTTAAATTTCGTCGCGAGAGGGAAGTATGGCACTTCATATTCCCCGCGAGGGAAGAAAACTGCTACGCTTTGCTGTTCGATAAATTCCTTCTTTTTTTTTTTTGTTTATCAACGACCGCTCGTCAGAAAGCAAGGAAACGTTGAAAATTTAGAGCGTGAAAATATTGGAAAAACACTGAAACGTTCGAAACATGCCACAGATACAATGTTCAGGTTGAATTTGAAGTAACAAGAACACGAGTATGTAGGTACGTAGAACGAGAAACCCGCCTGTTTAGAACTTTTGCTGCCCCTCTTTTTTTCAACTATCTACCCCCTTGCCCCTTCTTCAACTTTGATTACGTGTTTGAACGGAATTCTCTCGTTTATTATCTCTCGTTTATATTTCTACCCCTGATACGTGTCGGTTACATTGAAAATCACTGATGAACGTTTCGTCGACAACATTTTATTGACAGTGGTTTTAATTGGAATTATTTGCCGATATATACACGATAGAAATATTCGAACAGCAGCACTGAAATAGATGTACGTTTTATTTTTAGATAGTGAATAATATTTTTTGGTATGCACTTTGGATCAGTTTCAAAACTAATTGAATGGTTAAAGTTACGATCATTAAAAACAGAGTCCAAATACTTTTGTAATGTTACAGTTAAAAATTCAATTTTAATTTTGAAGTGTTGAAATTTTATTTTCTAATTTAATTTCTGGGGATGATTACCGTTATCGACAAGACAATCAAAACCCAACGAGTCATTACGAGTAACAAAAATATTGTCAATGGAACATTCTCAATGATTTCAAAGTAACCGAGTACGTGTAGCTGGTTGTATGTAACCCCCTTTTCCGCCACGCTTTTCTATTTCTATCTTCCACTGTTAACTCTCACGAAGGTGTACCGTCTCGAGACCGGATTGAAAAGATCACGAGACCGAAGTGCCATGCTGTGAAATTCTCCGGGCCCTGCCACAAACCCTCTTCAAACCACCCCCTCAGTGTCTCAGAAAACAGCCCCTTTTTTTTGTACCTTGTGTTTTCGTCAACGCCTCTTTGTAAATTAGCCCCCGAGTGCGTATGTACAAAGAACGAAACGGCACGTTGTGTTTGACCGTCGAACGGCGGATTCAAGTTAAATTATAATTATCTCAGAGATCTATTTTTCATAAAATTGAATAAAAATCTTTTCAGTCTCAGCGATCCGCCGTTCGAGGGTTGATCGTTACACCCTCGTCTAAACCCCTTTGTCTTTTCCCCGTGATAGAGACGTGAAAGTGAAACACGTACACGCGTCTACGGTGTCGATATTCGGAACGATCAGAATTGATTTTGCACCGATTCGCACGCACCACCGACCCTCTGTCAGTGTCCCCTTGTCATGGTGTTCAAATTGGGCCTGTAAATAGCGGAACCATTCTGATGGAATTCTGTTCCTTACCCTATAAGCATTAATTCAAATACTGTTATAAAAATGAGAAAATTTTCATAGTATAATTGTGTAGCTGCAGAATTTTCAGATTCAACAGAGGAACAGAATTCTAAGGGACCAGAAATGGGATTGTAGTGGATTCTTTTTTATTATTTTTTCTTTTTGTTCTTTCTCTTCACCCTCTGTGAACAAAGAGCTGATCGTGACCAGTACTCCGCCCCCTGATTGGCCAGAATGAAATTCACATCCTATCATAGCTAATCCGGTCTTTCATCCCACTTTGTCACATTCTACGTGTAACATGTCTATTTCTATCCTTTCTATCTTTCTCTCTTTCTGTCCCTCTCTCTTTTGGATCGTCATTTTGCCTTTCTCGTCGACGAGAAAGAACAAAGTGGAAGTGGTCTTTCAAAGAGAGGGATGAGAGAGAATCCGACAAGTGGCTTCCGGAGGAAGTTTCACCTGGAGAAGCTATTTAAAGACACTAGAAAATCAATTTGCTTGAAAGACTGTTGGAATAAGCGGCCAACCTTTTTCGAAAGGGTAAAAACCTTTGTGGTAAGATTGTATTGGCACACGATTGAATGGGGAAAAAAGAATTGAACGTATATCGTTCGTTTTTATTATAGACTGTTTATCTTCATCTTAACCCTTTGCCTTATAACAAGAATCTAATTATAAATTTTATATCCATCGATATAATTCAGGATTGCTATGCGTTTATCGAAAAGAAATCGTAAGGCAACGAGTTAAACAGCAGCTACTGAAAATTCATTAAATGAATATTTGAAATAACGATTATGGGTACTTAACGATTGACTACCTTCAACTATAGCTTCACATTTGTAAGTTCAATTTAGCTGGTAGTACATTTTGTTTCTTCGTATATTGTGCATAAATTAGCCTCGTCTATGTAATCCAATGCCTCTATCCAATCTTAAGACCGCCAACATTTTTTATTCCCATCAAGCCGTACCTCCATCACTATTACCTGGCATTGCAGTTAATCAGCAAGCCAATTTACTGTCAATCTCGACTCATCTTGAATGGCCAGCTAACCGAATATCTTCTCTGTATTCAGCAGCAAATCTCTGTGTAACCTTTTCCCGCCTGCTTCTGGCACGCAGGACGCATGCTAATCATTCTCGTTTTCTCTCGTTCGCCAAATTGATCGTTGCTTTATCATTCTGCATTGTTTTACGTGTTTCTTCAGCTTTCGTGTTTTCTTCTGCATTTCTGTTGAATGTTTCATTGTATTTTGTGGCTTCTTTTCGTAATGTAATTTCTGTTTAAATGGGGAAACCTCCCTATCGCGAGCACGAGATTGTCCTATTTTTGAAATACAGAGGAACGATCCCCCTTTGGAAACGATATTTTTTATTTTACCTTGTATACGAATTGTACGCAGTTAACAAAGTTAAGAAAATCCATGAAAATTAAAAAAGTTGTAAGAAATGACTCCACCGTCTTTTCCAGGTTAAAAGTTTTTTTGTACGGATAGTTAGGGGATGTTTCCAACGGATATTGTTCCTATAGTTTCCTAGTTCTTTCGCGATGAAAATTCTACGGAAGACTCGCATGATATTAGTTAGATTTAACGTGGAAACACGAGACACTAATGCAAACTTCGATCGCTGCAGATCGCGGACTTGAACAGCCAGGTGAACGACCTTCGAGGTAAATTGTAAGTAACCCTTTCGCATTGATTCTTCATTTTACTGAATCATTAAACCTTTGAGTTTGAAGGTTTGAAGGCATTGTTGAAGAAATAATAATATTGTTTTACTGCTATCAGCATGAAACCTACGCTGAAGAAAGTCTCCAAGTACGAGAACAAGTTCGCCAAGCTCCAGAAGAAGGCAGCCGAGTTCAACTTCCGTAACCAGCTTAAACAGGTCAAGAAGAAGGAGTTCACCCTTGAAGAGGAGGACAAGGAGGTAAGGATGATCGTTTTCGATCCCATCGACCGATTCACTAATTTTTTTTTTTCTCTTTGTATACATATATACAGATTTTTCCCCTCCCGTCGATGGTTCGCCCTGTTTTTGATTTTTGGGTTCGACCGTATAATTTTTTATGGAAATACAAAATCCTATTGAAAACCATGAGATTTTTATTCGCTTCGTAATCAAGAAAATTTAGACGGTTTTGTATTTCTGCGTAAAGATTTTTGCAAAATGAATTAGTTTTTCTTCTTGGTTTTTGATCTTCACCATACGACGGGTGGGCATGTATTCACGTTTTTTTTCCAGCCATTAAGAAACACGTTTTTGTGGCTCTGGTTTTCTTTTTTCCGTGTACAAAACCCAATTGGCAGGTTTTTTCCTTGTATCAGTAGTATTTTGGTCGCTCGTTTGGTAACCATCTATGGAGATCGTCACGTCACCTCTACGTGACGCCTTCAATTTTACATATGACACCATGATTTTTTATTTTCTTTTTAGTGTAAATATATAAAAAAAAGCGATCTCCTTAGAGGTACCGTATTTTTTTCGATCCTTTTCTCGTATATGTACGTACAACCCTTACCCCTTAGTAGTAGCGATAGTTGACTAGGCAATTGTGTTGTTCTCCACAGCCCAAGAAGTCCGAGAAGGCAGAGTGGCAGACGAAGAAGTAGATTTAAATAAAACAGAAAACTATAAAGCATACAAAAATTTAAGAGAAAAAGAAAAAAACAAAAATCAAATCAAACGCACGCGTACACAGGCAAAAGAATCGAATAATAATAATCATACCAATCAAAGAGCTCTTCAATACATCACACACGAAATATTTGTAATAATGTACATTGTTACGACGCGGGAGAGAAGCTAATTTGTTCATTTTCATTGTTGACATCGACGTGGTTCCGTATATTAATTTCCCTCGTGTCGTGTTCGGAAATACTCGTTCGCTTTTGATTTTATCCATCGTGAATCGTTTATCTCGCGGTTACAAAGGTGAAAAATTATATACATGCATACATATACAGAGTGATTGTACGAAATATCATTAGGTTGTAAGCCAAGTTTCCTTTTCGACTGGATGTCGATAGAGTTCTCGCGAGTTCTACATCGAGAGGAAAAAAAAACGAAAGCTGTATCAATAAAAAGTATCGAAAAAAGAAGTGCACGTAAACGGGGGCAAATCATTTTTCTCGACGATCATTTATTAATTTATTTTTCTTCTTTCATTACTTTTGTCTCGCTGTATATGGCGTACATTTTTCTTTTTTATCATTCATTTGTTATTTTGGTACATGGAACGATTTTTGATGATAATTCTTTTGGAAAGAAAATTTTTGCAGCATCGTATAGTCATTTTTGTATCACATTGCTGAACGAGTCGTTATCGAGAATCGTTCTGTTTTGCTTCACTAATTTTTTTCTCTCTTTTCTTTATTTTTTCCTTTTCATCTTAAGCTCGTCGATGGTACTGGAAGTTATTAAACATCGCGTCTAATTTGCTTTCTCTTTTCTTTCTCTTCTAACGCCATTTGACCTCGGTAACTGCGTGATATTAAAGAGATAAAACTTGGTAGAATGAAAAAAAAAGAAATACGTAACGATTAAAAAATAAAAAAAAAAAGAAGCGAGAAAAAGGTGAGCATGGCTTACAAAGTATATTTAAAACTCACAGACTTTCTTCCTCGTTTCGTACGTAATAGCAGAAGCGCTTTACTCACAAGTGCCTTTTTTCATTCTTTTCTCTCTCTCTCTCTATCTCTCTATTCTATCTCTTTCTCTTTCTTCGCTGCTCTCTTTCTAATCATTCATTCATTGTTTGTTTTTTGCATTCATTACGTTTATCTTCACTGTTTGAACTCGTTAATCGCGCCAAAAAAGAAAACACTTTTCGTTAGGAAATGATACGCAAACACAAACGTACATTGAAACAAGATAAACATTTTTGCAGCTTGCCTTTTACCGCCATCGTTCGGCTGCCATGCTTCCAGGCTGTAAATGTGTAGGATTGTTGTCCCGTCTGAAGTTTTTCTTTTGTCTTTCGATTCGAAATCGAGGATCGATCGTCAGTGCCAAATTAATTTTCAAAAATGGGGGAAAAAGCATGAATGGAAATTCTGAATAGCCGATATTCTATCAACACGACGATCAATGCACGATTCGATCGAGCCACCATCGTCGAACGTGAATCATGCAATGATCGAAGTTTCCTCGATTGAAAAGAAATTCCAAGGAAACTTCGATGCCCGATGAATCACGATCGACACGTTAATTGTTAAGTTATTAATTAATTATGTATGCTCTAATAATTGTCCATGTCTTATCTGTTGACTAATGATGTTGCTCTTGCATTATGTTCGCAGAACGCGTCAAAAGATAAGGTAAAGCTTTTTAAACGATCAACTCGTAGATCGGCATGCTTCTTTAGGGGAGAGTGTGCGTGTATTAGTAATATAAATAGATCGCAGAGATGGTGTGAAGGATCGAAGCAAAGGATACGATAGGATAGATAGAAAAAGCTTATATTCCTTAACGATCATTCATTTTTCTTCCATCAATTTTTATATTTATTTTGGATAACTTTTTGGCGCTCGAGTTCTGACGTAAGAGAATATTTCGAAAAGACCTTTACTTTTTACTTCTTTTCTTATGGACTCTTCTCTCGCCTCCTTTTCACTAACCATCTGCACGGCTTTCTGGATGACGATCAAGAGAGAAGATCGGTACGAATTCATCGAAAATTTGATCGGGGAATATGAAAATTTGTCAGATTTTTGATAAATCAATGCACACGAAGCGCCGGTCTCTAAGATGAAGATATAAATAATTTGTAATCCTTTCGCTGCTGCATCGACTGGATGTATATCTTTTTTGAAACACCCTGTACACGTTTCTTTTACAGCGAAAGGGTTGATAACTGGTCGCGTTGAATTATTTAGTCCCCGTTGACCCTTTAGAGAAAATTTCCACGTAAAACGTCACCTATATGTTAGCCTGCTTTGCGAAACGTTCCCTTGACGCTAACCCAGACCTGGCGTGTGCAAATTTGATCGAGCGATCTTCACGAACTTCAAGTTTCTCACACGTATTTTCTGAAATTTGCAGAAGAAACCCGATTGGTCGAAGAAGGGCGAGGAAAAGAAGGTAAAGGAAGAAGAGGTGGAGGCATGAAGGAAAACTCAATGTCGATGCTTTCGAGAATGGTCGTCCACTCCATCCACCTGAAATGTCGACGCAACGATTCGAAACTTCCTTCATTATTATTCTATTTTGTTTATTTTTTTTTTCTTCTCATCGTCGATTAATCACTATAGCTCCCGATATGCACGCAAAAATCACATTGTCTATGTTTCGTCCTCGATCTGTCTATACTTTTCTTTTCTGAGAACGAAAAATTCTTAAACATAAGTTCAGAATTTTGTCACTGACCAATTACACTCGTATATGTATATACACACATACACACCTACACATATATATTTTTTTAAAAGGAAACAAAAAAATCCTCTGTACCGTTCTCTGTTTCTCCGATTTGTCGATGTCTTTCTTCTTGTTTTGTTTCTTTTTTTTACTTGTGAATCCTATTGTACGTGTTACGTAATTTTAAAAACGAAGGGAGAAACGACACGTAATGATAGCAAGGAATAAAAAAGAAATCATTACTCATTTATTGTAAAGAAAAATATTTAACATTGAAGTACATTATACCTATGTGTTCGTTCTTTGTTGTCCACCCTACTCTTTGTCAATCCTTTGTAATATTTTTATGTTTTATGTTTTAAAAACGAAGGCGACGATTTTAAACGAAATGAATTTAATATTCTACTCAATCTAATTCAATATTTGGTATAAAAATGTCACTTTTTTGTATTGTTTATTGGTTTACATCCTGTATAAAATACAGAACAGTAATATTACTTAATCTTCAACTGGAAGACATGTACGGTAGGTCCATGGTTAATCAAATTTCGCTTAATTACGATTCGCTATAGATTGACGTTTCCACTGTATAGCTATTATAAAATTTGTTCGCTATTTCTCTTCACATTGTTTAAGTTTTGCAATATTGAACAGTGTACCACGCGGTTGCAAATGTAATTTGAAACTACTGAAACATTTCTGTGCCCAGGGTAACTCTTTGCATTTTTACAGTATCAGAAATTCAATGTCCTCTTTCTATTTAATTTTCTATAAAAGTAAATTGAAAAAGTACAATAAAGTTTTATTTGCTGACCTATCAGGTACCTGTGCTGTTCTGTAGACGTTTGTAAATACTATCGCGTCAATTTAATTCAGTTACGAAACCTATGAGCATGTCCACGTGTTCACAATTGTCTCATAGCTTAGCGAGACACATACATATGTCTGTTCATATCAAAACGTAAACAGTGTCCTATACCTAGTGGTGTACTAAAATAATCCTAGAACGTAGTGATGTCTTCGTGTGTTTTTATTGTCAGATATTGGCACAAAGTATTATATTACAATCGTTACTCCTGTATGTAGGACGAACCGCCACCTCCACCAGAACCTCCAGCAGAAGCTCCTGCTCCAACTCCTTCTCCACAACCGGAACAACCACCCGCGCCAGCGCCAGCACCAGAACCTGCACCTCCAGCCCCAACACCGTCGCCAGAACCAACGGCAGCAGCACCTCCACCAGCTGAAGGTGCTCCACCAGCAGCTCCAACAGAGGGTGCTCCACCTGCAGAAGGAGCACCAGCACCTCCAGCCGAGGGCGCACCCCCAGCCGGTCAGTATATTCATTTCAAACGATTGACATTAAAATTTGTTGCATTTTCTAGATTCTTCATCAGTACAATATATTCCATTGTTTAATAATCATCATATGTTTACGTCTTTCATGATAACAACGCGAGCAAGTTGATCATCCAACAAGGAAGAGGTACACCAGCGAGGATAGGACGTTCTTTCATCAAAGTCCGTCCTTTCACCGTAGATTAGAATATCGTTAGTAAAATAAGCTGCATGTACTTGTTCAGAAGGTGCACCAGCAGCTGCACCTGCGGAGGGCGCGGCACCGCCAGCGGAAGGTGCAGCACCACCAGCTGCTCCTGCGGATGGAACAGCGCCTCCCCCAGCGGAAGGCGCTCCTGCCGCACCTCCTGCCGAAGGTGCACCTCCCGCTGAAGGCGCGCCTCCTGCCGCGGGTGCACCTCCTGCTGAAGGTGCACCACCAGCGGAAGGCGCGCCACCAGCGGAAGGAGCTCCACCAGCAGCAGGTGCGCCACCCGCGGAAGGCGCGCCCGCAGCACCACCAGCAGAAGGTGATCTTGTCAGAACACAACAAATTTGTAAAAAAACAAACTTATCATTTTCTAATTAACAATACCATTTTCCATTACAAATCACGTTTCATTTGTAAACGATTAAACTAGTCCACACGACGCTAGATAACACAGAACAGCAGTGTTCGTGATAAGAACTTGGTAAGATACTGATACGAATTTGTAAAGGCGCCCCTGCACCAGCGGAAGGAGCTCCCGCAGCACCTCCAGCCGAAGGAGCTGCACCTCCTGCGGAAGGAACGCCTGCTGCAGCTGCACCTGCACCCGCACCCGCACCAGCACCAGCCGAAGGAGCTCCCCCAACTGAAGCAGCACCCGCTGCACCCCCAGCAGAGGCTGCACCAGCACCCGCGCCTGCTGAAGGTAATCTTTTCTCCTTTTGTCACATCTAATAATAATTTTTCTTACATTTACAGAACGCATCGTTCATATATCGTAGAAACCAGGCCACCCATCTTTTTATACTTTTTTAGCGACGTGCTCGTGTCGATCATTCACATTTATTTTTGTTTTATGATCGATGAGCGTTCCTTTTTTGATTAATTCCAATTTTTTGACATGATTTCTAGCTAAGGTAGTTATGGTAGTGAGACTCACATTGACCGTCAGGCCCAAGCGCCCGGTAATGGGTTCAAAATTCATCACGTACGGTATGTCCATTTGAAGGTTCACGATTCTAGTGTGGAGGACTAAAAACGCATCGAGTCATCAGTCACGATACGACTGACTAATTGCATCATCGATCATGCACGATACGTGCGATGACATTTAATGCGATCGACGAGGAATACAATCGATACTCGTCATCTTTATAACGATCACGTTTCTACATCTTTACTATGTATCATTAGTCAGACGAGCACTTTAGCTTCTAGCAATTAGTTGAACGTCTACTACCAAGGATGTCGTAACTTTAGTCGAATAGCCACTGATAAAATGATAGTAACTGATGTATGGTAGTTATAGTATACATAGTAACATCGAGTATAGATATCCTCGAACGGACAAGATCCTCTTCGAGAAATAACGATCTGATCTAAAAGGACTAAAAATCTTTTAACTCTCAAATGGCGAGGTTGGGTCTTTGTTGACCGAAATATTCTAAATTTTATATTATTTTATCACATATATGATCTGGCCATTCGAGAGTTAATTTCAACATTGACAGTTCTCTCAGCGAGAGAAGCTAACATAATTGGAATGAAATGAAACTTTTTCCATCTTTCTGATGAATTTTTTTTTCTTTTTCTTTCCAGCACCGGCATCGTAACTTCGTCGAAGTTGGAACGGACGAAGGGTCACCTCGCCATATGATTTCCACTCGTTAACGTCTGAATTTGCATAAAATCGTACACGGATAATCATAGAGTACGGATACACACGCGTCGAGCCGTATGATTCTCTCGGCTCGATGGTTCACGCGTTGCTTGTCATCGTCTTCATTCATCGTCATTGTCATCGTCGTCATCGTAATCATTGTTTTTCCTCATGTTATGCGTCATGCTTTACCTCGAGGAACGAAGGTAAACACGGAACGAATAAGAAATTTGAAAAGAAAAGCGAAAGATAGAAAAGAGACGTCTGTCGTTCTACGTATTTTTCTTCGTTTCTCCGTGGGGTATTTTACGACACCTTGTCGTTCAAAGTAAATCGAGAATCATCACGGGGTGCCTGACCAATTTCGCTCGTTTTACCTAATTATAGGAAAAACTAATAATAAGCCAGTGTTTACGTTATGAAAAAGAAAAAAAGGATCGAAGAGCCTTGCTTGCGATAAAAAGCGTTCGTCGTACCGTTTCTTTTTCCATCGACCAAAATCGAACGATCGAAACCGGCAAGAAATTCATATTTTTATTGTAAATAATTAACGACCCGTTTTATCGAACACGAATGCAGATATCATGAAAACAATTGGATTTCGTAATAAAATCATTTCTGCGACTATAGATAGGTACTTATCCCCCGATCAATCAATCCTGTCCAGGTTTAACTTTAAGCTTACGAGTATGTATTTCCGGCGGTTGTGTTCGATCACTTCCGCCTGTGACTACTCTTTAATTAATATTCAAAGGTTCGTGGCTCTGATTTTCTATCGGTAAGAGGGCCTTATTTGGAAACGCTTGAAGTTGTCTATCGGAGTGTCATGGGGTTGATAGCAATCATTTGTTTACGTTGCTCACCGTCGTATCACATGCTTTCGCTAATCCCTTTGTCGCTTTGTTTCCCTCTACAGTATACAGTTAACCCCGGGAACAATAGACGTACCTACCTATATAATGGAATTCACGTAGGTCGGTCTTGTCGTGGACGGTCATCTCCGTCTGGTATTCTGTTCGCCGGTGCAATCGATCTTCCCAGCCATCAAACTGAATTGCCATCATTAAGCTTATGGCAATTTAATGATATCGCAGCGATTGAAAGAACCGGTAGTCATTTCTTTCAATAAGATATTCAGGGACGAACGATCGCGGACAAATAATGATGAGCTGCTTGATTTAAATAAATTGTCTTTTTCTTTATTAAGCTATCTCTGATTATGTGCGCTTGGAAAATTTATTGAGTCGTAAGATTGACAAATGCAAAGTATAAATTTATTACCAATACTAATATCAACATTAATATTATTATCAATTATTAGTGTTATAAAAAAATTTTTAATAATTAAAGGTTGATAATGTAACAGATTGAAAAATCCTTAATAATATATATTATAAATGTAAATATTTTCAATATGCCACTCAACAAGTCAGGCTGCGCGTAATTCGAAACTCGAGGCCGCGCGCGTAGCGGTGAGCCGGCTCAGCCAGTCAGTCGCGCTCCGGCCATCGTATTGGAAGGTGTTCGTCGCGCTCTCGTTTTTCAACCTTCCCGCGGTTACCGTTCACTCGTTTTTGAACGAATGAATTGTTTTCTCTCGTGTTTCGTGACACACTGTGCACGCGAATCAGTGTTCCCTCCTGTGTATGATCGATAAATCGAGTGTTAACCTCGGTCGAAAATCGAGCACGTTGTGCGGAGCAAGTTGCCGCGTTACGCAACGCGCCGTTGCGATTCGCAGCAGGCGGGAAACGATTCCTAACCTCCAGTGCATCCTTTCCGCTTCTTCTATTTTTTCCTGTCACCTGATCGTCTTTAGGATTGCTCGGTGAGTCGATATTTATAATTTGATTTGAAACGCAAAAACCATTAAAAATGACGCCTCTTGTTTTGACATGCGTCATCGATGTCTAGTGTTTTAAATATCACACTAAAATGCGTTTACGAATTTTAACTCACTAATTCTCAGAGATCGATGATATGTACATTTTCTGTTATTGCGCATATAGTCCATTACCAAGGATATACATCCGAACCACGCGATATCGCGTTTTCTATCGTTTCACTTGTATCGCGTGTCGCGTTTGGCCGGATTTTCGCATACGATTCTCGAACACGCGACGAAACACGGATACCCTGTATGATTGATTAGAACGGACGAAACTAGTTTGTTAAATCGTCGAATCGCGTCGTGGACTTGTTTTGACAGTGCTAGAAAGAATTCCGCCTGTTCGTTCCGGTCATACCGGTTCCCATCGTGTCAAGCCTACGAAGGAGGCGTAGGACAGGACAACGGTAGAAAGAAGGAGAGAAAGAAAAGTAAATAGAAAAAAAAAGAGAGCAGTAGAGGATGTAAGAGAACGGGTCACTCGACGACAAGAAATCCGATGTGCGACACCATACGTTCTCTTCCTTCTCTCCTCCCTCGAGATGTTCCTTTTATATTGGCCATTGTGCCGGTTAACTCTTCGCCATTTTATTTTCCTTTATGACTGTTCTGTTACGATTTTATATATATATTTTTTTTTTTTTTGCGAATCTAATCAAAGGAAGCTGCTGATATTGGATAGTTGTATCGTGAAAATTTGAAAATTTCAGAACAATTGGTATCGCAAAACGCATCGAACGATAAGAGAATGAACGGAGCTTTTAGATGAATTGATTCGATACTCGATTGTACCGTGCGATTCGACGTATCGCGTGATGATCTGAATTGATTAAAAACGTCCGTGAAATTGGTAGCGCGATGAATTAGAGATAGGAGTTTGAAAACGTAAAGTTAATTAGGCAATCTTTGCAATTTATTAGCCAATCCGTTTTTAAGATTGAAAATCTTGATAAGAGGGCTTTAGACTTTCTGTCACTTTTGTACAGGCCAAACGGTAAGAGTTATCGAAAAACTTCTTGCGCCATTGTGTTTAGTGTGTCAAAATCTCAAGGTGTGGCCGAAAAAAATTTTTTTCTTTGCCACTTCCGGTCTGTCCGGAAATGGCCGAAGATGGGTTGGTTCTAGAGCGAATCTCGCTCTAGTTCACTTTAGCTTGTTTTTGCAACGTTTATTGGACACTTTGACGATTACGTACTTTTTCGCGCCCTTTTTCTTCTTTTCCCGAAATTTGAAAACTATTGTCATCCATTCGACAGTTCATTTACCGTTTAAGCAAATGAAAAGAATTGAACGGATATGGACATCGTTAAAAGGGTTGTCCCGTAGTACCTTTTGTTGCGGGTTTTGCATAAGCATCGGCACGCTCGGTCTCTTGTTTGCTCAAAGGAAAAACTTGGGACCGTTGCTTCAACCAAGGATTCCTCCTAGGCTCTCGGCTAGTTTGAATTCCAGACGGATAGTTGCGGTTCCGCGACGCGGAGCTAAGTGAATCGCGGACGTGGAGTGGTTCAGTCAAGGTTGAAGTAGTTTACTCGTTGCTAAAAGTACCAACCGGTGCTCCGCGTCGAAAGATTAAACGCGAACCAGTCCTTTTTCTTCCTTTCTACTTTCGTATTCAAGCAAACTTGCTTCCTACACACGAATATTTCCGTTTGAACAAATTTAACAATTAGCATTTTTCTGTTCGACGATAAAATCCTTTATTTATGAGTCGTGCAGATTTTGCAGTCTTCGAGCGACGCTCCTTATCTCTTGTTTTACACGAATAACGCAAACGCATCCTTATCGATTGTTTCAATTTTACCTACTAGGATAATATTTTCGTTCGATACAGCTCGAGCAACAAGGCGAAGCAAACACGGCTATCTCTGTTTTCTTTTCTCATAAAGCAACTTCTGTTTGACTTGACTCAACATCGCGATCACGGAATATCAATAATACAAAACGTTTTCTGCGCGGATAAGGGGATACATGTACAGAGTCGAGTTACAAACGAACAAAGTCACGTACCGGAGGTTTCGAATTTAGAATCAAGAGTGTTCTTCGTTATTGGCGGTTAGCGATAAGGAGTGTCCCGATCGAGTTTTCAGCTTACCCTCGATGGTGCTCCAATTATATCCGAAGCATAGAGGCGGGTGTCTTTCATGCTGAATACTTCTGGTTAATCCTAGAAAGTTTTATGATCGCCATTTCGTACACAGTAGACGATTATTTAAAATGTACAATTCAAATTCCTTGTTATTACGCGTAATGTAATCTAATTGAATAGAATGCAAATGAATTAAAGCGACAAATTTTAATTTATTAAGCAGCGCGATTAGGTATCGTGGTTGTTTTATGTTTGAAAATGAAGTCAAGGCGATAGCACGTTTCATGACACGATCTGAACGAGAAGCAAGGGGGTCCGATGTTACGTATGCATGTATGTTAACGATTTCTACGAGCACACGCGAAACGTTCCCATTCTGGGCGTCGAGTGTTTCGTTATCACCGTTATCGCTTACTATGTGCGTACGCGCCTTTACTTACGCGCCATTCGCCTTTCCATTCTGCACTCGGGAAGCGGTTCATCGTTGAAAGAGGAATAGATAATTCGTTTCCTATAAAAATGATTTAATTAGAGAGCAGATAGTTCGTTTGCAAATGAAAGATAAACGTTTTCCTTTTACGTCAGTTTCTTTTAAAATAAAGAGTATGTACGTGAAAAAAACTAGTACTCGTAACAAAAGGTTTTGACTAGCACGGTAACACGAATGAAAAAAGATAAACCTTCCAAGGGTAGTTTCTCAATGAAAGCATTAAAATTGAAAACGTTTACCCTCGGTCTGAGAAGGTTGAATTTTTACATCGCGTGTTCTCCGTTTGCACAGTGAAATTACAGTTGGTTGCTCCCTGGGAAACTGTTGGAATTTTCCCCCTTTCGAACTGCCATCCGATTTCACGATTTTCCGGGTTATTAGATCGCTCGTTTAACTGTACCATCGGCGGCCGTGTTCGTCATAGGAAGTCAGTCAATCAGTCAGCGAACGATGCATAATTTAACGCTTGCTACGCGAGAAATATCGAGTGGTGATGTAATCTTCGATTGGTCGCGGTTCAACGTAGAAAAAGCGACGATCGTGTATTTATGAAACGATCGTTGGACTTTGCTACGTTCTTTTACACAGCTATACTGTTATCGAAGAATTTAAAAAAAAAATAATTACATCTACTTCGCGACAAATTAACTGTCGTATGACGTGTAAAAGCTTTGCTTATCACTTGGAAAATCTCAAATCTTTGATCCTTATTGCAATTTTACAGTCCCGCTTTAATCACTGAAAAATAATGAAACTCCGTGTCTTTATAAAATCTATTAGGTTGTTAATTAAATTCGCAATCTTTCCGCGTATTGTATTTTAAAATCGACCAAATTCTCTCTCATTTCCATAGCAAGAAATAAATATGCATTCGAATAGATTAATTACACGAGCGTACATTTAAAACACAAAGGGGATCGATAAAAAAGCTCGCTGTCCCGAATAAAATGGTTCTCCGCCATAGCTTCGAAGAGTTACATCAATTTGCCAGAGTAATTCAAGGTATTAAATTGGCGAATATTTTTCAAGTCTATCACGATATTGAAATTAAACGTAGAATTCTTCTCGACGACGACCATCAAAAGAATATTGATATTAATTTTTTTTCATTCGGTACGATGGAGGAGGTTCCTTCAGTTTCATCGACTATGTCAATTAATTAAATGACGCGAACGTTCGCGCATCATTAAACCGGTCGTTTCACGAATATCAGATGAACCGTGTGACGAGGGTAAAGAAATATCAGGACGGTTCGTTAATTACGCTAATATCAGTCCCGTAGATATATCGGTGCACGGCCGGGAAGACATTTCGACCTTAAATCTCGCCGATTCGAGGAGCATTGCCTTAAAAAGCCGTTGGTTAGCGGTGCGTTCTTTCCTTTTTCCATCCATTTACCGAAACCACTCTCGCCTTTTCCGTGAATGCAAATTTGCCGCACGAACGAAGCGGACCAGTTCCCTTCTGCCTATGCCGCCAATTAAAACGCTCCTTTTCAAGCAAAAGGCAAGCAAAAGTTGGGATTCGGCGTGCACGTTGAAAACAGCAGACTTCGTTGCTCCGGAGGTAATAAAAAAGGCGCGGACGCGAAACAGAGAATGTTACCTTTCTAACGGGCCTCGATCGGACCACCTTTGCTGAACTTGCCGAAATTCTGCAAACCTATCTGCAACTTTTTTATACTAATCCCACAAGCGAGAAACGTTTGTATTTTCACGAGATTTCGCCGAACAGATAAAACAATTTTTTGCCAATTTTTCGCTAATTAAAAATTAGCATAAAAGGCTGACGAATAATTCGAGCATGTAACATTAGAGATAACTGAAACGTTTATAAATATAATTGAAATACGTAATTGAAAGGGGTTGTGATGCGGAGGCCGGGGAATGCAGGGACGCGCGTAGGCGCTTTGAATGAAAGCAAAGGCCACGCTGCTCTCATTCACGTGGAGACAAGGCAGGCTATTGTAATTGATTCGCTCGATAGATACATCGACGAATGGTGCAAAATAATTTTATCCTGAAATTCCGTAACCTTCCCGGCAGATTTTAACAATCGAACAGTAAACAATTTCCCTTCGCCGAAATATTTCATTCAAGAAAAAAGGGGGACCATAAAATTCCTTCGTCTCCAAAGCTCTCGCGGTCGGTAGACACGCACGTGCGTGGGTGCGTGCTTGTGCACCTTTTAAGGTGCTCTTAGAAACTCGCTCTAACTCGTTAAAAACGTTCTATTTGGAAAGCCCAGGTTACTTTAAACGGTTCGAATCTTATTTATATTTGAAGCCGAACAAAAAAATTGATCCATTTTTGCGATAAAAATTACACGGCGATTGAAATACGTCGGTTTTATCGTTTCCTTCTAATCTAAAGAACGAGCATTTTAGTTCACACGGATTTTCGGTTCTACCAACTTCACCTCTCGAACAATCCTCCCACGGTTGTCCCACGACCGCCGTTACCTGCAGATTATGGAACCCAGGTCCGGATCTATTCGAGAGCACGTAATTCTGTCCTTTCGGAGAAATCTCAGCAGGTTTTCTTTCCGGAATACAGGTACGAATTGGCGTGTAGTTTCCACCGGTGAATTGCACCCTGCATATTCCTTGAGAAAGTATCGTTTCCCTGCTGTACCTAGTAATCGTCATAAATAATACGATACTCGTATAAGCGCGAAGAGGGAAGATTCTCTTTGTCACCTGTTCAGCCTGTGAATTTTCAACGAGCACTTTTATTGCTGCCGTAAATCAACTATTCGACCGGTTGGGCTTTGAAACGCGGAAAATTTTTACTCGTGGCAAAGTGGTGGGTCGTTTACCTTTTTACCGTCACGCGCATCCCTTTGAAATTAACGGGGATTGTGTTTACCGGAAATTACAGGTAGTTATCCGAACGCGATCCCATGTTTCGAATCGTCGAAATTGATTTGTCGTTCGCGTTGAAATATTTGATTTTTTGCAAGCGTTGTTCATCAAATTAATCGAATTCGTCGATTTAGAAATGAATCAGTTTTTTTTTTTAAGCCTTCACTGGTAGACACGTGTTTCCGAGTAGCCGGGTACAGCTGACGTCTGTTAGGATATGTTTCGAGGCGCATAGCTGCGATTAATGTCTGTTAGACGATAGCCGGAGGTAATCGTTGCCACGATGGATCAAGACAAAGGGAAGCGGACGCGTGACGGACGCACGTGTTGCCGCGTTCATACGTGGTCGGATTTGGCTGCGTCGACGTTGCCGATTACGACGGCAACGCGACTGCATCTCTGATGAGAATACGATCACGCGAGCGTAAAGTGCAGTCGAACGCAAAATCGACATTTTCGCCTGACAATAAGGCCAATTTCCCGCGTTTTGTCCGGTCCTTAATGCGAAAAAAGGGGGAAAAAGACAGCGCGGAAACAAATGGAAGTTGAATGAAAAATATGATGCACCGTTAATTTTTTAGTTCATCGTTACCGGTAGTGCCATTTGTTGATGAATTGTTGTTCTGATTTCAAAATGACTTTTTCTTTTTCTATACTAAAACGAGCATCGTTTACTCTTCTCCATAAATTCCTTACTTCGGATGGTAAACGTGTTTAAATTGATGGCGCGGGTGATATCAGCAGCGTAATTGTAACAGGCGTCGCGACGAGATGCACGCAGCAGGAAACCGTTTCTCTCATCTTTCGATACGAAGAGAAAACTGGCTTAGTTCTGCCAGTTTCCGTTTATAGACGCTCGTTGGCTTCATTACCTCCGTTGCATACGTTCAATCCTAATTAGCCCCATTTACTTTGGACCCTCGCGATTAAGATCTGTTCGTGTAGCTACCGAGGGTTCCTATGGTTCGGGAATTGCTGCAGGCAGCGTTTCATCGATGTTCATACAACAGTTTGCATACGTAAACTGTTTTCAAACGTGGTACATATTGTTTTCTTTCCATTGATGTTTCTCGTTGTAGAGCAACAACCTTGTACAGTATAGTATCTGACGTGTTTATCTTGTTCATCGACCATATAATTCCACCGTGACAGAGAAGAAATCGTTTCTGATAGGTCGATCGACGAGATAAACGCTTGTTTCACCCCGATTCCGGATCAATTTTCCAACCGATGCTCATCCTTGATACGTGGCCGATACTCGAGAAACTTTCTGCTCTCTAATTAGTGTAACGAGGCAACATACCAGGCTAAAATGTCGATTAACTGCGCCGACAAGGATCTCTCGCTTGTCCTCGTATCGCTTCGATCGGAATGATACCTGTTACCGGCGTGTATTAAGTGCGTCCATGTCAAAGAATTAATTTAATGGACGATTTTTCCTGTTCACCGTGTGGCTATCGTATTAACGAAATCATTTACAGCTCGGCGTACACGTTATTCCCGAACCCCCAGTGTACGTTTTCATTAACCGTAATTACGTCGATGACCGTATTTTAATTAACTTTGATAAACAAGTAAATCGGTGAAGGATTTTCTTTTTACATAAATTCCAAATAATATTTATCAAGACGTACATTCGACGAGCATCGAGGCAAAAGGTGAAGGTTTTATAGGCAAGGATCGTTGAAACGATCGAGGTTTAGATCCACCGATCGTTGGGCGATCCAAGGGAAAAGATAATGGTGCTCCCGCCTACGCGGCAATATAGCAGAAAACGACGACTGATTATTTGTTGTCGAGGCTGCTCGCAGGCTCTAATATTTTACAAGGTATCCCGCGAAGCCGAGGAGAAATCGCGTAGGTGCACGTGAGAAAGGGAAAGGTAAAGGGTCTAAAGATCAACGAACAAGAGAGAAGAAACATCAGGGAAGAGGACTTAGGATATTCGAGGTTATGTCACGGTTCACAATCGTGACTCACGATGTATTATTAGTCACCGTTCGTTCTCGTGACTTCCAGGACGAACAGAAACCGCTTCCAATTGGATGGTACCACTTCGGAGGAGGACCTCCGCGTCCGCGACAAGATACGGGATCTTCTTTGCTGAAAAATTTGTCGAAGGGATTCACCTTTGCTCCCGTCGATTCTCCTTCGAACAAATTACTATCTTCCAATGGTTTTAACATTTTTTTTTTTAAACTTGGATCATATAAATTACATGGACACCCCATCCTTTACCCCAGTTTCATTTCCTTGATATTATAGGATAGTTTAAGTTTACTATATTTGAATTATATTTTACAAAGTCAATCACCGTAGTTCTTTAGCATTGAAGGTACTGAAAGTCAAAATAAAATTACTAATCATCGTCCCATCCAAAGAATAATTCACTCAATGAAAAACTCTTTCAAATGATCACGGTGCAAAAGAGACAAATTATTTGGAGTTTATTCACCCGCATGGTACTCGAGATACAATCGTTCCTATTATGATCAATAATATTTCTGTGATTAGGAAGGGTGGAACGATCTCACGCGCAATAAGAAACGACCCCGGTCGCGACCGTCATTGAAACGATTTTCATCGGTGCATTCAT